CCAGAAGGCAAATTATGACCTGAATGTCAGACATCTGTTTTTGTAAATAAAGTTTTATTGGAAAAAGCCATACCTATTCATTTACCAATGTCTATGGCTGCTTTTATGCCCTAATGGCAGAGCAGAATAGTAGTGACACAGACCCTCTGGCCTGCAACGTTTAAAATAGTTACTATCTGGCCTCTTAAGAAAATGTTTGCTCAGTCCTGCTCTAGATAAATTAAAGACTTTAATACAAAGGTAAAACTATAAAATTAACAAAAGAAAATATATCAGAGTATCTTTTGACCTTGGTGTGGAGGATAACTTCTTAAATAAAATTCTAAATTATAAACCATAGGCAAAAAGACTCTTTAAGCTGATTATATAGAATAAAGATTTCTGCTCAATAAACAACATCATGAAGGTACTGATAAAAGACAGAGAAGTTATTTGCAAAGTTCAAAACCAATAAGACACCAATACATCTAAGAAACATCTATCATTTAATAAAAAACAAGAACCCCAAAAGAAAAGCATAGAATTTAAAGAAGCAATTTGTAGAAGAAGAAATCTAAATATATAAGAATAGAAAGAGATGTTCAAATTCATTAGTAATCAGAGAAATGCAAATTAAACCAACAAAGAGGTGTCACTTTAACCCTCAGACTTGCTAAAATTAGACAGCAATACAATGCCAAGCAATGGCATTATAGAGAAACCCATTTCCTCCCAATTCTGGTATTAACTACCAGTACTAACTAAAATGAAAAATCACTCTATTCTGGAAATAAAAATCTAAGAGGGGGCTTCCCTTGTGGCGTAGTGGTTGGGAGTCCGCCTGCCGATGCGGGGGGCGCGGGTTCGTGCCCTGGTCCGGGAGGATCCCACGTGCCGCGGAGCGGCTGGGCCCGTGAGCCATGGCCACTGGGCCTGCGCATCCGGAGCCTGTGCTCTGCAACAGGAGAGGCCGCAGCAGTGAGAGGCCCGCGTACCGCAAAAAAAAAAAAAAAATCTAAGCGGTAGTAAAATATAATAGATATGTATCTATAGTCAGTCAGCCATCATTTGCTGAATACAGATATTTAGCCATCATTTGCTGAATTGAATATAGAGCTATGATTGTGCTAGCACTCACAAAATTAAGAAAATAAATGCAGTTAAATATTCACATTGGCTAGTTTTCTTAATTCAAGTGTTTGCAGGTCAAAAAATTAGCCAGAAGAAATTTATATGTTTTATTGTTAACCTGGATACAAATTTTTACTTGAAATTGTGTCAGACATATTTGTAAGGATTTTTAAATATAACACTGCGGTTTCCAAAATCATTAGCTTATGTTATTCCTGACTGAATTGAAAGCAGGTAATATATACATATACATCATTAGGGAAGTAGAATCATGTCCTCTTTAAAATTTCACAGTAATTTACAGCAATAAACACACATACAACACACATACTACTTTTGACTTCGGAACAAGCTGTTCCTTCTTCCTTCCTCCTCTGTTTACGGTTCCACAATTGTAGCAGTGGCCCACACCAAGAACGTCAGCAGTCCCTTTCATGTCTCTTTGTATGCCACCACAGTGAATAACAACTAATTTGGACTTTTCCCTTTGCCACAGTCCTGACACCAACTCCTTTTCCAACCCACTGCCACTAGTCTAGTTCAGATCTAGCCTCAAATTCAGATCACAGTAATGTCTCAACTCCTCTTCTTTCCCCTTTTTCCTCCCTTCTTCCCTCCCCCCACTTTCTTCCTTCCTTTCCTCTGTGCTTCCTCCCTCACTACATCCATCTATCCAACCAGTATTTTCTGAGTATCTGTTCTATTCCAGGTTCTGTTTTATTGTTGGAGATTCAGCAGTGATGAAGACAGACAGGGTCCCTGCCCTTTCAGAGTTTCTTCTTGGTTCTTTCTTCACATGTATTCTACATTCAGCCATAAAATAAATTTTCCTATCGAATTGCTTTGCCCCTTTCCAACCCCATTCTAAAATATCTAATTGTTTTCCATGACCCACAGAATAAAGTCCAGACTCTGGCTGGCCGTCCAAGATCCTTGAGGATCTGGTTCTTTCCAGTTGAATTTCCTACTACTCCACTCTGCACATTCGGTGCTTCAGCTAAATCTGATTGCTTGTTGTAAACCGATGGCAAAATGAATGAAGTACCATATGAGAAATTTACAGGTTGAATGCAGCACAAAGAAAACCTAACGCAAGATAACACACAAAAACCAAATAGTAAATGAAGACAGGATGAGAAAACAGACTACTCCCTATTTCCCACAACTATTTTATGACTGTCTTATTTGTGCCACAGGACAAACCCAGAGACATGGGAACAGGGCTCTCCCCTCAAGGCAAGGCATGCTGATCACTCTGGGAAAAGGTGACTGTGGGACACAGAAGGAGGGAGGCCTTGGAGCCATGGAAGAAAAGGACTTCCTCTCATCTCTGGGGCTAAGAATGAACTTAGAAAAGAAGAAGCCCTCGGTGGCGAGTCTTGAAGCAGATCCAGCAGCGACAGCCAGCTACCCTAGCCTCCCAGCAGCCGGCCAGAGTGAACGGCAACAGAAGCTCTGCTGTTCACCTGCATTGACGAGACCTCGCGGCAAAGAGAAGCACCTGTGTCCGGCAGAACCACACGAAGGAAGCGGCTGAGGCCCCTCCAGGCTCAACAGGATGCATCTAAGTTCTAGCTCATCTAGCACAGCAGAACCCCAGGCTGGAGTTGGGGCCTAAGTACAGCGCTAAGAGGAGAAGGTCGGAGGGAGCGAACCTGAGGACTGTAGGACATGCACATAAGGCAGCACAGTAGAAAACTTGCAGACAGCCGGAGGACACCGTAAAGTGGCTAATTTCTAGTAGGCCAGGGGAGATTTATGTCATAATAATTTGTGTTTAAGAAGGAAGTGCACTATTATGGTCAATTAATCTGCACACAACAGAGGAGGCAAGAATATAAAATGGAGAAATTCAAAAAGTGCTGCTGGGAAAACTGGACCGCTACATGTAAAAGAATGAAATTAGAACCTTCTCTAGCACCATATACAAAAATAAACTCAAAATGGATTAAAGACCTAAATGTAAGACTGGATACTATAAAAATCCTACAGGAAAACATAGGCAGAACACTCTGACATAAATTGCAGCAGGAGTTTTTTGGATCTATCTCCTAAAGTAATGGAAGCAAAAGCAAAAACAAACAAATGGGAACTAATTAAACTTAAAAGCTTTTGCAGAGCAAAGGAAACCATAAACAAAATGAACCAACAACCTATGGAATGGGAGAAAATATCTTCAAACGATGCGACTGACAAGGATTGATTTCCAAAATATACAAACAGCTCATACAGCTCAACATCAAAAAAATAAACAACCCAGTCAAAAAATGGGCAGGTAAATAGGTATTTTTCCAAAGAAGACATACAGATGGCCAATTAGGCATATGAAAAGATGCTCAACATTGCTAATTATTAGAGAAATGCAAATCAAAAATATAATGAGGTATCACCTTACACCAGTCAGAACGGCCATCATCAAAAAGTCTACAAATAATAAATGCTAGAGCGGGTGTGGAGGAAAGGAAACTGTCCTGCACTGTTGGTGGGAATGTACATTGGTGCAGCCATTATGGAGAACAGTATGGAGGTTCTTTAAAACACTAAAAACAGAGTTACCATATGACTCAGCAATTCCATTCCTGAGCATATATCCGGAGGAAGCTCTAATTTAAAATGATACATGTACCCCAATGTTCATTATAGCACTATTTACAAGAGACAATACATGGAAGCAACCTAAGTGTCCATGGACAGATGAATGGATAAAGATGTGGTATATATACACAATGGAATATTACTCAGAATAAAAAAGAATGAAATAATGCCATTTGCAGCAACATGGATGAACCTAGCGATCATCATACTAAGTGAAGTAAGTCAGACAGACAAAGACAAACATCATATGATATCACTTATATGTGGAATCTAAAATAAATGATACAAATAGACTTATTTATAAAACAGAAATGCACTCACAGAGGTAGAAAGTAAAGTTATGCTTACCAAAGGGGAAAGGGGGGGAAGGGATAAATTTGGAATTTGGTATTAACAGATACACACTACTATATATAAAATAGTTAAACAACAAGGACCTACTGTATGGCACAGGGAGCTATATTCAATATCTTGTAATAACCTACAATGGAAAAGAATTTGAAAAAGAATACATATGTATGTATAACTGAATCACTTTGCTGTATACCTGAAACATTGTACATCAACGATACATCAATAAAAAAATGAAAAACTTTAAAACCCAAGAATTTAAAAGGTAAAAAACATGTAATTGCTACTTCTAAACTTCCAACTGTTCTTAAAATATAAGTAAACCAATTTGTCCTGAAATTTATTTAAATGATTAAAAATTAAGACTATGTGAAATAACAATAACTAAAGCTTAAAAAATATTTTAAGTATGTCAAAATTAGAATTTATTCCAATTTTAATTTCCTGGTTTTAAAGAAGGAAAATTATCTGTAATATATTTAGAATATCCTTTTAAAAAAAGAAGGAAGTGTACTTTTATTTTGTAGTCACAGGCAGATGACATCAAGGACCTAAGAGCTATATCTTCACTTTTTTTAAATGACAATTATCACTGGCATATTTGTGTGCCTACCTCTCTCCCTTACCACATAGTGAGCTCCTTTAAAGCAGAAACTACATCCACTATAAGATAAATTTCCCCACGAACTGCTTTACCTCTTGACAATTTCTACAAGTTTTTCCATTTCCCCAAAACCTTCCATAATGAGTATTCATACAGCAGAAGTACCAAAACTATCTGTTCAGTAATTAAGCGAACTGATCTTTACCTTTCTAGATGAAGTGTGGTTAGTGCTAAAAAATATTCTACATGAAAGATTACACTGTTGCATTTACAATAAGAATAAAGTTACTAAAACTGTAAGTGCATATAAAATTATGTGCTTAAAACTAAATCAACTTACTAGTAATCATTGCTCCAGTCACAGAAGCCAGAAATCCGATGCTGACTGCAATGACAGAGATTACTCTCCCCTGCCGATGCCTCTGTAGCATCACGAACATCAACACTCCTGCAGCACCATGGACAAACAGAGAGGAGAAGAGAGCCCAGAGGAAGATCCAGTACCACATCTCTGAAAGGAAAAGCAAAATGTTAATAATTTCTGTTGAAAAACATCTTAGAAAATCCAGTTTAACAAATAGTGAGCACCCATGGTCTGGAAGAAGGTTAAATGAGATATAACAGATTAAAAACATGCCTAGTACAGTACTTGATACATAGTAGTACTAAATAAATTTTAACAGTTATCATCATCACTAATGCTTGATGGGGCAGTCATTCCCTCCATGACTTCAGAAGGTCATAGCCTCTAATTTCCTCTAAATGTGCCTGTCATATAGCTATAATCTATTAATTTCTCTAATAAACCCTCATATCTGCAAATCTCTTGCAATAAATTATATAAGTTAATTAACTGCTGTTAGATATATAATTTTCTATCTTCTATACTAAGTGCCCAGACATTTTTAAAAACTACCACTTAATTCAGATAATAAGTACAATAAGTACAAAAACTATCTGTTCAATAAATAAATGAACTGATCTTTACCTTCAGAATTCAGAAATAAGTCAGTGATTTTTATCTTTTACTATTTTAAGAATTTCAGGCCATTTCCCTCGTGGTTCTCACCTTTACATACTAAAGAATCAGTCAGAATTTTTGTAGTGCTTTGTCTCTCAGGTCGTATGCTAGCTAGTCTTTAGCAGGAACTCCTCAAGCTCTATCACTCTTTCTTCAATGTAGTCTCAGTTACTGTTCATTGAAGCCTGGTTTACAGACAATTGATGAGCATGCCTTTCATTCCCTCTCTAGCATGCCTTTCATTCTCTCTCTTTCTGGCTGAATGGTGGTTGCCAAGGACTTGGGGGAGAGGGAAATGGGGGACTTCTTATTTTAAAATGGCTACAAACACAAGGGATCTTTGTGGCAATGGAACTGCTCTGTATTTTGACTGTGGTGGTAGATACATATACAAGTGATAAAACTGTACAGGACTAAACACACACACACACACACACAAATGAGTACAGGTATACAAGCAACACTTGTGGAATCTGAAAAAGGTTGGTGGGTTCTATCAATGTCAATAACATTGGTTTTGATATTATACAGTAGTTTTCCAAGATGTTCCCATTGGGTAAATGGGGTAAAGGGCACATGGGTTCTCTCTGTACTATTTCTTACAACTGCATGTGAATCTACAATTATCTCAAAATTAAAAGTTTAATTTTTAAGAAGAGAGGATATATAGAAAACAGATTTTTTAAAAAATCAGTTTCAGCCTGCTAAATTCTTAAGAATTGACACTTAGAATGGACTTATAATTTGAAATCATTTCAAGGAAGAGACATCTGATATATTTTTCAGTGTTAAAGTACCATGCATGCTTCTCTATGGCATAAGAGAGAGATGCTGGTGATTAAGAAAAAACAGACAAAGCTTGCCTTTTAGAGGATTTTCTCTTCCAGCTTTCACAGAAGTAATGCTTTCACACTGTCACTCCCAAACAGCTTCAATTTACAAAAAATAAAGACAAAAATGCTTAACTTGCCCTGAAGAATATTTATATTTTAAAAGATATAATTTTCCAGAGTGACCCTAACAAAGCGAGACGATAATACAGCAATAACAGGGTGAGGAGGGATGCTCATCAAGGCAGTTCTGAGATGAGACAGGCGCTGGAACAGGCACCTACTCTTAATAAGAGCAGCCATTTGCCTTGATCCCCAATCCTGCTTCTCACCAGGGCTACCCCCAAAAGCACTTTTATTTGTTGTCCTTATAATACAGGTAGAGTGAAAATTTTCTTGACTATATGTAACACTATGAACAGGGATTATCTGACATTATAAGTAATGTTGTTTGCCTACTGACTATATAGCTATAGTCAGTTTACCTAATAATTAGGAAAATTAGGTCTAATGTCTTATAAATCCCCAAGATATCAAAGAATTATACAACTGAAACAGAATCTCAAATGGTCCTCTAATGTCCAATCCAGGATTATCCCTCAAGCAGACTGAGCACAAACAATCTGCCCAAACTCAAATTTATTTTTATGTTTCTTTGTTTTTCTTAATCACACTATTTATCATGGAAAAAAAAACCGAATGCTGCTGAGAATATCTACAATTAATTTAGATTTCAGGTTGTTACTAGTTTTTTTTTTTTTTTTTTGGGTACACGGGCCTCTCACTGTTGTGGCCTCTCCCGTTACGGAGCACAGGCTCCGGACGCGCAGGCTCAGCGGCCATGGCTCACGGGCGCAGCCGCTCTGCGGCATGTGGGATCTTCCCCGGACCGGGGCACGAACCCGCATCCCCTGCATCGGCAGGCGGAGTCAACCACTGCGCCACCAGGGAAGGCCGTTACTACTATTTTAAATTACCTGATAGATCAATACAACCATGTCAGTGAACAGGGCCTCTGAAGACCTGGTTCTACTCCAGATAAACAAGTCTGTCTAAGGTCCGACTCACTATTGGCAAACGCAGGACACCTGGAGAACTGCAGGACCCTAAGAGTAGAGTGAAGACAGATGCCCCAGAGCCCTAGAGAAAGAACAGTTGCTAAGAACAGGAGAGGAGTATGACAACCTTTTCTTAACCTGTGCAGGCTTGTACGGCTAACGTGAACACCCAGAGGCCCAGTTTTCTCTTTCCACCCATATCCCACCTAATCCAAGCTTCTTGCAACTGAGCGACAATAAAAGGATGAAGCCAGAGGGAGACTTTGCTGGTGCTAAACAAAATACAAAATGAGAAATTAAAAATACACTTACAAAACAGAAACCTTGAAGCATGCCTTCCGTTCAATTACTGTAATTCACTGAAAGGAGATATTCCGTCTTCATTAAAGCCCTTTCATTATTTTTCCCTATTCAAGGCTGTCCATAATCTTCATCTTAAACTGAATTGTTGCAGTGTGTTTGTTTACTTTTAGTGGGATAAGAGGCAGAGGAGTAGTGATTTGTTCCAGTCTCCAAACAATTCTAGAAATAGCCCTGATCCCAATCTGTATCTCTCAGCCCTGGTTGCCAAGTCACTAAAAATTATCTTCTGTGCTTTTGATTTTAATCTTTGGACAAAATTATTTATGAGAAATAAATTCCTCTAGATATCTAGAATATATTAACTAAGTAAAAACAAATCAAAGAGTGGTACATGTTATATGATCCTTTTTGTTCAAAAATTATAGGTACAGAGAAACACATAAACAGATTCTAACAATGGCTATCTTTTAAAGATAAGAGAGGAGATGGGTTATATTATTTTATTCTTTACTGATTATTTTTTAGCAACCAGCCTGGTTTTTTTTTTTTTTTTTTTTTTTTTTTTTTTCTAGAGGAGATGGGTTATATTATTTTATTCTTTACTGATTATTTTTTAGCAACCAGCCTGGTTTTTTTTTTTTTTTTTTTTTTTTACTTTACTGCAGATACACTGTCTTCAAAAGATAGTTTTTCATTCTAGAATATTCATCAAAGGAGAAGAAGCTCTATGAAGCCAACGCTTCTCAACCCAGACTGCTAACAAGAACTACCCACAGAGCAACTAAAACTATCACTCGAGGGGGGACCTAGACAATTATATTTTCATCAGCTCTACCAGATAATCATGACACACAATAAAGACAGAAATCACCACTCTAGGCTAAGGTTACATAAGAGGTACTTACTAAAAAAAAATCCCAAAGTCATAAAAACAACAAAACCTATCTCAATAGACAAACACTAAACATAATTTTTAATCCTCTATAGCATATCTAACCCTTCTAACAAAATCATTAGCAAGTAGATACTGAACATTTATATGTATTCAACATACTCTAAGCCTCAAGGTGAAAATAACATACCAGTAAGACTAAATTTGGGGGCTGTTCATAATTTCTACCTTCTTTATAGAAATGGTCCTCATTATATGTTTAAATAATCTGTGTTCAAATTTGGTTATCTCAAGTTTGTTTTTTCATTCCAGCAAATCTAAGGTGTGGCAATTGCTCCCCTTAGTTTCCGACACCAGTGACTTCTCAGTTTGGGCATGTGTCCCACACAGGCAGCTTATTAAACTCTCAGGGAGATGATGCATTTATAACTTGAAAAAAATCCCCTAGATCAGGGATTGGCAAAGTATGGACCATGAGTCCTATCTTACCACCAACTGTTTCTGTACAGTCTGCGAGCTAACAATGGTTTTTACATTTTGAAATGGTTGAAGAAAACCCAGAAGAATGATATTTCATGACACATAGAAAGTACACAGAATTCAAATTTCAGCGTCTATAAAGTTTTCCTGGAACACAGTCATACTCATATTTGAGTCATACTCATACTACTTTCATGCTACGATGGCAGAACTGAGTAGTTATGACAGAGGCCACATGTCCTACAAAGCTGAAAATATTTACTGCAGTTACTATATATATGCTGAGTATGTTAAATACTGGTCCTTTATAGAAAAAGCTTGCTGACTCCCGGTCTAGATGATTTTGACATATGCTCCAGGGGGTTGGGTTGTCACCCCACACCCCACTGAAAATTACAGTCACAGTACTTTCATATATTATCAAGACCTGACACTTTGGGTGTTTAACTAATGGTACATCAATGGCATATATTCTAATACCACAGGCTCTTCAGGGCACAGTATGCAGCTGATGCTATGGGGTACATACACCCATAGTTACGCAGAACAAGAGGGAGAAATATCAAGAAGGATCCCAAGAGAATTCGTTGCCACCTGAATTTTTAAAATAAACAGGACTGAACCAAATGATAAACACACTGGAGATGGAATGAGGGTGAGGAATGGGGAGTGGGGCACTCGAAGCTAACGGTTCTCAGCCTTGGCTAGATGTTGGGGTTACTTGGGAGAGCCTAAAAGAAATATCACCCTCAGAAATTCTGACTTAATTGGGCTTCAGAATTTGTTAAAGTTTTGATTCTCATGCACAGCCAAGAATGAAAAACTGCGCTAAGACAAAATGATCTAATCATGGAATTATGTACAACTGAGAATATGCAATTGCAAAACCTCCGGTTTGGCTAAAGCCAAGAAATATGGAGAGAATTG